AGAGGAAGAGGCCTCCAAGAGGGCCCCAAGACGGCCCGCGAGGGCCCCAAGACGGTGCTTGAGGCGCCCAAGACGGCCCGAGAGGGCCCCAAGAGCCCCAAGAGAGGCCCAAGAAGGGGAACGCGACCCAACAGCAGAGCGTTCCCCCCAAAGGCCCACATGAGGCCGCAAGAGGACCCCAAAAGCTTCCCGAGGGCCCAAAAGGCCCCTAGGAGACGTCCAAGAGGTTTTAAAATAGCCCAAGAGTGCCCTCGATGCGTCAAAACTGCTTCCAGGAGGCCCCCGGGAGGCTTCCGGATTGCCTCAATCTGGCCGCAGGTGGCCTCAAGTCGGGCCTCCACGCAGCAAGGACGGCCAATGACGGCTTCAGATTACAGAACCGATGCCCCCAAGGGACCCGCAGACGCCCCCCCCAAGAGGCACCCAAGAGGTGCCTCCAACAGCCAGTTGACAAATCATGCGGAACACCCCAGAAGCTCCTCAGATGCCGTCGCGCGCCTGTGCTTGATAGCGTTGTCCAAGATCGTCCAGCGCCCCCCCGGCCTGGGCTAGAACCTGAGCGCGCGCGAAGCGCGCGCGATGGTTCTAGTATATAATATATATGTGTGTGTGCATGCGCATACACAAATACATATACACACATGTACAAACATACGTATACATATACACAAATATACCCAAACACATACACACATACCTCTACATGTGCAAATGCACAAACACATACACATATACACCTACACTACACAAGCATAAACATACACAAATACATATACACAACTACATGTACACATACACATACATATTCACATCACAATACACATACATATGTCTGTACATCTACACATACATGCACACATATGTTTACACATACATTCACACGTGCATGTACGCTTACACACACGCCCACACATTCATAGGCACATACGTGTAGCCCTGGGGACGAGGGCCGGGGCTTCTGGCCCAAGGACCTCCCTACGCCATTGGGGGCCACCTCCGGATGGAACAGGAGGTTCCAAACCCACGCGGCGATTGGCCCAAAGGCGCCCGACAACGCCCAGACAGTCCCAAGACGGCCCGAGAGGCTCCCCTGAGGCCCCAAGAGCGCTCCAAGAGGAGTCCCGCGAGGGCGCCCCGAGGCAAGAACCGTTCGGTTTCCATGGGTTTTGTGAGGTTTTTCGGGATCTCGACGCTTCATGTTTCGGATGCGAGGCACCCAGGCCCACCCAAGACGGCCAAGAGGCCATCCAAGACGGCCTCAAAACGCCCCAGAGGGCGCCAAGACGGCCCAAGAGGCGCCCATGATGACGGCCCAAAAGGACCCCCAGAAGGCCACCCAGAGGCCCCACAAGGCTTCCAAAAGGCTCCAAAATTGCCACCAAGACGCCCCCAGAGGCTTCCAATAGGCCCTCAGGAAAGCTTTCCAGGCGCGGATGGGCACAGTGGGCCCGAAAAGAGAATTCGGACGGGGCAGAGAGAGACCCAATCCCATTCGCGAGCACGAAGAACGCTCCACGACCGCGCCTGGTTGTCGATGCCGCTGCGCAGCTGGATGAAGACGGGGAGAGTCGCGAGGATCGTGTCCGCCACTCCTGCTTCGACTCTCAGCAGTTGGCCTGCGTGGCCGAGCAACTTCTGGTGCTTTCGAGCGGACCCATCAAGTTGCACTGCAGCTTCAGCTTGGCGCTGAGCCTGTCGGCCGAGGCGCGCGACCCAGAAGCCCCACGAAGAGGCTTTGCCACTGCCGCTCCCGCAGTGCCATGTTCTATGCCGCCGTCGGCTGACTGCGGGGGGCGCCGCGCCTGCCTGGCTGGTCGCCTGCGCCGCCCGCGCCAGCCTGGACCAAATAATTGTGGATGCCGGGCTCCGAGCGTGTCCCGAAAAATGCTACGGAGCGGGAAGGGGAGGGAGAGGAGGATTCTGCTGGAATTTTTTGGCTGAGCAGCACTGTTCGCACGCCGGAGCAGAGACGGCCCCATCGCCGTGCGGGCGCCGCAGTGCGCCTGCACGCTGGCGCGTCGCATGGCACGGCGGCGGCCCTGTCTCGCTCGCCTGGGCGCGTGCCCCCCCCCCCAGGGAAGCGCATTCGCGAGGGCGCCGCGCGGTCTGCTGCCGCCGCTCCACCCGCGGAAGCGGCACGCTGACCCATGTCTTTCCGACGCAGGCGCCCCGCGGATTGCACCGACCGCGGGTCTTGGAGACCGCGCTCGCGGAAGCAGCGCTCTGGCCCATTTCCGACGCAGGCGCCGCGCGGGCCATCTCAGCCGCGGGCGCTGCGTTCCAGGCTTCGCTGGGGAAGACGGCGTGCAAGGCGCGCGCACACGAGTCTGGCACTATGAACGTGGAGCGCGGGCGCGTTCGGAAACGCATGTGCTCACGCCCGCGGTGCCGGCGACCGTGCCCTGCGGTCCCGCCGGAGGCGACGCAGTCGCCGCCGAGCCGCGGGAATTCGAAGATGTAGTCGTAAAGTGGCTTTCCTTCTTGGCGACCCGTTCCTGCTGGTTCTCGAAACGGTCCTTGAACGTCGCGAACGCCTCGCAGCGCTGCGCGAGGTGGCCCGCGCTCCTGAAGCCTCGGGAACCGCGTTCGCTCTCAGTGTTTGCCCCGTCGCCTTTCTCCTGGTGCTTGCCCTGCTGCTTGGTCTCGACGGCCGCGCGGGAGCTCAGGGGCGCAGGCGTTCCGCTCGCGCGGAGGGGTCCGAGGCGGGCCCCTCCCCCCTTCCGAGGTGGGAAACGTTGCGCGGGGCCCGCCGCCAGATCCCTTCCGTGGGGGGACGTCAGGCTTGCGATTCGCTTCCCAAACCCCCGGCGGATCAACTGAAGTCGTGCAGGAGGGGTCCTTAGCAGGGCGCTTCACCTTCTGCGGGGTTGCGCGTCGAGGTCCTTGCCGCCGGACGCCCTGCTCGCAGGGGCAGCTGGTAGGCCCTCTGACTGTGGGCGCGGCTTCTCGTTGCCGCTCTGCGCCCCGCCGCCGGGCGCCAAACTCAGGGGGGCAGCTCGGGCGCCCAGGGACTCACCAGCTGGCATGGCCCTTCTCAGCCTTCCTCCACGGCACGTCGGACAGGCCGTCGGCCAGCTTGGGCGTGAGGTCCTTCCTCCGCGGCGCGTCAGAAAATCCCTCCTCCCCAGTGTCATTTAGCTTGCGCTTGGCGTTCTTGGAGGCCTGTTCGCTGGACCCCGTCTTATTGGCGGTACCGGCATACAACTACGTCTCGCACTTCCAGCCAGAGTCTTGCGTGATATATATATATATATATATATATATATATATATATATATATATATATATATGTATATATATATTGGTCGTCTTCGCTACCACCGCTCTCATGGTAGCTGGTGCCCTTCTCCGCCGCGCCACAGCGGGCCGCCAATTTCGCAGACTCGGCCGCATGCGGAGCCTCGCCCGTTCTCGTCCGAGCTGGCGGAGAAGGGCGGCACCGCGGCAGCGGGGAACGCGACTTGGAGGGTCCCCCACTCCGCGGCGGCGTGCTCGGCATGCGGTGGCATCGGCACCTGGGCCCCGCCATGCGCACCCACCTCCTCCGCCGGGATGAGCCGCGCCAGCCGTGCCAAGTTACGGGCGCCACTGCAATTTCTAAGTTGGAGGAGAGGGAAGAGGAGGAGGAGGAGGAGGAGGAGGAGGACGAGGAGGAGGAGGACGAGGAGGAGGAGGAGGTGAGGAGGAGGGGGAGGAGGGGGAGGAGGAGGGGAGGTGGGCCGCCCACGAGACCGCAACGAACATCCCAGTTGCTTCGGGCATGGTGATGGAAGCGTTGATAATCGTCGTCGTGACTATGGAGGTCATGGCGGAGGTAGCAGTAGCGAGGGCAGTGGTGTTGGTGGTAGCGAAGACAGCTGTGGCGCAGCTGTGGCTAGAACCACGCGCGCGCGTGTGGCGCGCGTGGTTATTGCGTGTCTACATATGTCTGTATGCATGTCTATGTATATATGCACGTGTATATATAGATATATGTATTCAACTGTCTGTTTTCATACACTTTCATAATGCCTACGTGTAGAGTCTAATGCGTATCTTTCCGAGGGGGTAGAGCCCAGAGGCGATTCGTTGATGTCGTGACTTTTTGCCTTGGCCATTTCGTTCAGGATATCGTCAACATTCTGAGAAGTGGACTGGATGCACCTCTCACGCAGATCGCGGCGTCCCGGTCGAAAACACGATGGCTGCAAGGGAGAGGGTTCGTCGTGGTCGTCGTCCCTCCTCCTCCTCTCTTGTTCTCTTGCATCCATTGATATACAGCTTAGCGGATTATTGAAGGCATGCCAGGGTTACCAGTTTTGAGCGATGAGACCGATTCATCACCGCCATCATCACACCCCACTTCTGCCGGGAGCCGCGTTCCTGTGGCAAATGATTTGTTTGGTGTTTGGGGTTGGGGGTTTGGGGGGAGTGGGGTTTGTTGATTGGTGTTGTGTGTTTGGGGTTTGGGGGGTTGCTGTTTTGGGCTTGGTGTTTGGGGGCGTTTGATGTTTTGTGGGTTTTGAAGGTTCCGCCTGGGGCGTCGCCCAATTTTGCCAGCGTATAGCCCGTCCAAGTGAGGTACCGAATTGGGCCCCCTTCGCCCCCCCCCCCCCACCCCCTCCAAATGAGATGTGAGACCAGCCAAAGTGGATGGGGTAGTACGGAGAAAGCCAGGGTCAGCGGACTGCTTCGCCCTTCGCTCCTCCTCGTTCTGGACGTACAAATTTCGACGGTTTGGGGTCCCATGGGACGTCTTCCCCTGTCGCTATCGCCCCGCCCTGTCCTCGTCCTCGCTACACTCACCAATGGCGCGCGTGTTTCGTCAAAATAACCGGTGCGTTCCCACCCTCGGCGCGCACCATTTCGAGGAACCTCCTCCTCCTCCTCCTCCTCCTCCTCCTCTTCCTCCTTTCTCTTCCTCCTTTCTCTTCCTCCTCATCCTCCTTTTCCTCCTCCTCCTCCTCTTCCTCTTCCTCCTCCCCCCCCGTGACCAGCCAGGCTGAGCGTGCCATTCAGGGGACCCCGCCGCTTAGGGATCCCGACGTTGGCAGCTCCCGACTGGCTGGGCAGGCCCCACCGGAAGGCGACAGCATGGCGGGCGCGCTCGCGGTGGCCAAGGTGGCCGACCGAATCCGGAAAGGCGAAGATTCCGTGCGAGTGGCGGCCACAGCGCTCCTCTGCGACGAGGCATTTTTTGGCGACCTTGGGTAGGTGGAAGGGCATGTTGGAACTGGAGTTGACATCCACGCGCAGGACACTGCTGGTCGCACCGCCCTGCATTACGCGGCCGCGCAGCCGGATGCCAGAACGCAGCGAATCGAGCTTCTAATGGACCGCAAGGCTCTGGCTGACATGGATGATTCCGACGGCTTCCCACCATTAGAGTTTGCTGCGCTCCGTGGTTGCGCCGAGCAAGCGACCAGTTTGCTGCTGACGGCGGGCGCAGGGTTGAGGCACATGTCGAAGTTGCGCCTGACAGGACAACTGGCCGCAGATGGCAGCATGATCTCCAAGGACGAGGTGGAGGTCGAGGAGCTCTGTCTACCGCGGCGTGTGGAGGGGCACCGGCATGGCTGCCAAAATCGTCATGCTGATTGCGCAGGGCGAGGAGAAGGACGATCTACATCTCTTGGCAACTGCACGCCGCCCCGACTTGGTGATGCTCCTCGGGGCAATTTCGAGCGAACCGCAACTCATGCTCATCACAGGGTTCATGGACGGAGGGTGCCTCGAGCTCCACTACACGGCCATGCGCAAGGACTACCAGCGCCCGAACTGGCATGCCGCTTTCGGGCAACAGGTCGATTGGTGCAGCGCTGTTGCGCGAGGCCTGTGCCTCCTGCACAGTTGCTGGACACCGGTCATCCACAGAGATCTCAAGCCCCCTAACCTCCTGCGGACCAAGCGGCTCGATGTAAGAATCACCGATGTCGGTATCAGCAAGATGATGGCACCGATGGGGTGCAAGTTGCAGAAGATCCACATGATGGGCGTGGTCAGTCTCCAGCGCATGGCCCCTGACGTCGTGCGCAATGGACGGTACGACACGAAGGCCGACATGTGGTTGTTTGCGTTCACACCGTGCTCTAGCAGTTCGCGACGCGGCCACTTCTGGGAGCGCACGAGCAGACCGACATCGATACCGGAAGAGCAAGGGAAACAACAAGCAGCCGAGACCACAGCTGGCCGACACGCACGCATCTCTCCGCGCCATCATGAAGGATGCCCGGGCCGAGGAGCCCAAAGATCGCCCAGACGCTGGGGAGCTCAGTGAGCGATTCACCGCGGTGCCTGCGGACAGGGGATTCGGATGCAGCACTGTGTGAGCCGACCGTGCCAAGCCCTCGCGCCCATTGTTTCAGGGCGGGGGCATCTGGTGGATTCACTGTGCCCGGGCCTTGGCATCGCTCGGACGTGTGCATTTTTTCTCGGTGAGAACCATCAAGGACCATCCTGGACCATCGAGCAAACACGCACGAAACCGAAAAATGCACGGGAAATGGACGTCCGAGCGACGGCAAGGGGCGCGGGAGGGCGCAGGGTAGTCAAGACGTCGTGCTGAGATGTTGCGTCTGTAGCCTGTTGCGGAAGATATGCTGGGCTAGAGGCTCGGTGATCCCAGCGGGCGCGACCTTCCTCCAAGGGGCCAGGCGCCGGCGATCCCCGCATCGCCGCATCCGTGCATCCGTGCAGGTCATCCTCTGGCTCCCGCCCGCTTCTCCTAGTTCAGGGATTACCTCGTTTGTCGCCTCATCATTATGCCCCTTACCCTCTTCGCGTGGCGTCCAGCTTTGAAGTAGTGCAGTTTCTCGGCGATCGCCTGCTCCGTCTCGCCATGCGGACTCCTGGTGGAGCCAGGGCACGTATTCGTGGTTTCCAGCTGGCGCCTCTTCGGCCACTTCTGAAGTCGACGTTTCGCCACGGAGCCACGTCTTGGTGAACCAACGTCCCGATGAGCAGATGTTTCAAATCCAAGAGGCACAGGCCATTCCGCCGCCCCCCCACCCTCTAACGGGATTCTGGACTTCACAGGAGGGGGAAAAGTGAAGGGGTGGCAGCCAATCATCCAACCCGCCTTTCCACCTCTGGAAACCGGGGGTCGGCGGACGTATGCATTTTTTCTAAACCCTGCAGGGGCCGTTCTGCCTCCCACTGCTCTTCTTCCCAGAGGGCCGAAAACATTTGTTCAACGTGGAAGACCTAGACTCAGGAACTGTGGAACGCCAATTTACAGATGCTGGACACCCCCTCTGGAGGTATAGAACGCACGTTTGAACATCCATAGTAGAAATATCCATCGCACAGGGACCTCTTGGTCACGCTTACCCCCAGCCGCCATCCTCCGCCCCGCGCTGTCCGTTCCCCTCTCACTCCCGTTATCTCTGCGATCCACACGGGCCTCTGGTAAGCTGTTAATTCGTAGGGTTTTCGTCCTGCCGCCGCTGCCTTTGCCCACTTTGGCGGCGGTTCCATATCTAGCCTGTGAGCGTTCGTCTCCCGCGGACGCTTTTCAGTCGGCGCCCACCTCTGCGATCCACACGGTTTTTCTTTCCCCTAATTTCTTTCTACTCCTCTTCCTCACTGTCCTGCCCGAGCTGCTCTCGATCCTCCTCCCCCCACTCCTCCTCCTCCCCCTCCTCCTCCTCCTCCTCCTCATCATCATCATCATCATCATCCTCCTCCTCTTGCTCCCCCTCCTCTTGCTCTCGTTCTTCCGATTGAGCGCGTGGCTGTTTCACAGTGTTGTAGCCCGCGCCCGGAGCGAGAGCCAGAGACCGAGCTCTGGAGCCAGCCCTGTGGTCGGCTGGCCGCTGTCGCCTTGAAGCCAGCGGTGCCCCAGGGAAACGGGCCCCAACCCCCATCTTGTCTTGGCCGCTTTCGGGCTGCTGGGGCTCCCCGCGGGCCCCTTGGGAGGAGGAGGAGGAGGAGGAGGAGGAGGAGGAGGAGAAGGAATAGACGACTCGAGAAAGAGTTTCGGTCATGGGAGAAAGCCCCGCTTCCTTCAGGGCCCGTTTCCTTCAGGACCAGCGTTTTCCATGCCAGCTCTGCCCAGGCGTCCCCCCCCCCCGTCCTCCTCTCAGCCACCAGGTGCCAAGAGCCGCAAAGGATACGTCTCAATCATTGCTCCGCGGCTCGCGCCGGGAGCGAGGGCAGAGAGTCGTTGCGCACAGGAGTGCGGGTCCTTGCTCGGGCCCCGCCCCTGTAGTCGGCTGGCTTTTGCCCACGCGCCCCCCCTCCCTCCTCGTAGCCGCTCGTAGGCAGCAGCTGGAATAGTTTAGTTCGATCGCTGCTCACCGGGTAGATCAGGAAACTCACGTCATACGTGTTGCCGCCATGCGGCTCCTCGTGGCGCAGGCTGCACTCAGGAGACTCGTCTCATTGCTCCTCCCGCTCTGCCTGAACTATTCGACGATCACGAGCTACTAAGCGATACTGTCCGACCATCCCATCGCGGGCGTCTCCGTGCGCCCTGCGCACGACGCTTCTCTCCAGCACTCGGTGCCGTAGTCTGCCACAGCGCGTGGGGCCTTCCCTTCTCCGGCGCGCCGCCGATCCCAATCATCCAGGCGCACGGCAGCGGCACTTTGTTTTGGCATCGCTCGGACGTGTGCATGTTTTCTCGGCGAAGGTCCCCCCCCCCCCCAAAAAAAAAAAAAACAAAAAAAAAATCGGCGAAGGCCATCGAGGAGCATCCTAGATCATCTGGCAAGAAGAAGCACGCAGGAAACCAACGCATGCACGGGGAACGGACGCCCGAGCAATGGCAAGTCGTGGGGGCGGCACAGTCTTGCGCCACGGCTGAGGGAGCGAGCATTTTCGCGTTGCGCTGGCACGCGATGCGTCAGGGGTCTGCAGCTGCCTTCGGGCCGCGCCAGCCCCCCAGGACCTCCACGACGGCCCAACAGGCACCCAAGAGAGCCCCAGGACGGTCTGGGCACTGAGGGGTCCAACGATCATAGTAGCTCTCGCATCTGTAAGAGTTTTGCGACACCCCACTACGTACAGAAGGCATGGCTGCGGACTCGCGGACCAGGATGCGTGTAGAGGCGGATGTCCTGGGCCCTGCCCGAGGATGCAGTGTCGCACAGCTGCGCCTGATCTGCTGACATGATGTCGGAGATCAGGGACACCCAGAAGGGGAGGAAAACGTTGCTGCCTTGGACAAAAGCCCGCACAGGGACTGCACGCCGAAAAAGGGGACGGAGGCCGCGCCCACCGTCAGAGCCGCCGGGAGGCGGCGACTCGGCGACAGGACCCCCCGCGCGGCGGTGCCTGTGAGGCAGGCCTTGGCTGAGGATGAATCGCCCCAGCGCGCTCCAAAAGGCGCAGTCAGAGCGTTCTGGAGAGCTCTGGAAGAGCCGCGGCGCCCGATCTCATCGTGGCCTTCGTTTTAGCCTGCTGGGCCGGCACATGCACCTGAAAACCGTGGCTATACATCATCCCCTGCTTCTTAATCCAACCCATAAAACATTCAAACAACCATCACCCCTACTTTAAGCCACGTGAGATGGGTGCCCCTCACTCACCGAATCCCAGTCCATCACAGGTTCTGGCAACCAGAAAAACGTTGAAATGTTCTTTCCTCGCCCCTTCCTCTGGGGAGCTGGGGAGGGCGGAGAAGGAATATGAGGAGGACGAGGAAGAGCAGGAGGATAATAAATATGAGGAAAATGGGAGGGAGGATCAGTATGAGGAGGATGAGGGGGACAATGATGATGCTGATGATGATGATGATGATGATGCTGATGCTGATGCTGATGCTGATGCTGCTGCTGATGATGATGATGATGATGATGATGATGATGATGATGATGATGATGATGCAGATGATGATGATGATGATGATGATGATGATGATGATGATGATGATGATGATGATGATGATGATGCTGATGATGCTGATGATGATGATGCTGATGATGCTGATGATGATGATGATGTTTTTTCCTCGACGTCAGGACCAACATCTGATATACAGATATGGCGTACAATGAGTCCAGACTTAAAGATCCGTCGCAGAGAGCCAACTGTCTCGTATTGCCCCGCATGGGCCAAGCTGCCAGGGTGCTGCGCGGAGGGGCCTCCTGCGCAGCGCGTGCCAAGCAACGTCTCAGGTGCTAGCTGAAGAGATATTCGGCTGCTTCATCTTCGGCGATTGTATCGAACTCAGGTGGGGCCTCCACCTCGCATGGCTCCTCTGCATGTGCTGGCACGGCAGGGTGATGAGGTGGAGGCACGACGGAGGAGGGAGGATACGTGACCGTGACCGTGCTGCTGCTGGCAGGGAGGCCTTCGCCTCGAACAAAATTGACACGGCGCTGGATAGCATCCTCTCCGCTGTTGCCTGCATTGTGCCATGCAGGCTCGCTCTGGCAAAAAGAAGGCTTCACTGCTCGAGCATCTCCAGCCAGTGGCCGACCTCCTCCTCCTCGAGCCAGCCCGCTGGGGCCACGCCTCTGTGGTGGACCGCTTGGCCCTCGGCCTCGAGGGCGCGGCTGATCAAGACTCGGCCCTCCCACATGGGCGCGCCGATCACCAGCTTCGTCTTGGTGTCGTCGTAGCACTTCCCCAGGCGCACGAAGGAGATGACGTCGAGGAGATCTTCCTTGCTGATCTCCGCCTCCGCCTCGATGTCCTCGGGCTCCGCTCGGAGCAAGTAGTTCCGAATGGCACCCTTCATGGTGCCGCCCACGTCGCACTTGTGCAGTCCCTCCAAGGCCGCCAGCGCGAGGGACGGAGCTGGCGACCCTATCTCCTGCAGGCGTTTCTTGTCCTCTGGGGTGCCGCTCTTCCTGAGGGAGTCCAAGGTGTGCTTGTAGCCCTCGAGCTCCTGCGTGATGGCTATGATCACTGTGCTCGTTGCTCATCGTGTAGGTGAGGTGTCCGTGTTGATGCTGCAGTTCAGCCTGGTCTTGTGCGTCGTCTGGAGCAGCAGCTTCAGGGTCGACCGAAGCAGGTCCAGCAAGTTCTTGTCCTTGCTGCTCCAGGCCTTGGGGTTGTGAGTGCCGCGGCGCCCGCGGCGTCCTCCACGGCGAGCTGGGCGTCGGCTGGGCTGGTCGGTCTTCGTATCCTTCTCGCCGTTGTCTCCCTCGTCCACCTCGATGGGCGTGGCTGCTGGCGCGGCTGCCCCCCCTTCCTCGGCTGGTGTTCGTGGTGATCGCGATCGCCTCTGCGGTGGCGGCGGCGGGCCTGGCGGACGTGCAGCTTTTGTCGCCTTCTGGCCTGGCGCGGCGCTGGAAGCGGTGCCAGAGCCCTTCGAGCCCTGGGAGGAGTCCAGCGGGAGTCGCCACGACGCTCTCTGCTTGGGCGTCATCCCCTGGTCCAGGAGGTAGCGCAGGAAGAGTAGGCGTAGAGGAAACAGTAGCCACTCGAAGTGTCCGCGGAGGTGTTGCATATACTGCTGCTGAGCGCTGTGCTGCCTGTGGCCGTCGAAGTGGTCGGTGTCTAGGACTGCTGCGAGGGTCGCTGCCCACGATGTGTTCCACCGACTGACGAATGGCAGCGCGTACAGCAGGGGTGTCCTCGATAGCAGGCGAGGGGCGGCAGCTGGATGGCGCGGGGCGCGGCGGGGGAGCACTCGGAGTGGCCGAGCGCGTGGTCAGCCTTCTGACGACAGGCTTGAGCATGGAACCCGATGGCGACGGTGGGACATGTCCCAGGACGTGAGCTCGAAGTTTTTGCTGATCAAAGCGTAGTCCCGTAAAGGGCATGTAGTACATGTGGCTGGGACCCAGGGGTATACATGATGAGTAAGTTCTGGAATGCATCTGCCTGCTTGCCATGCTCGTCGTAAATGTCTAACTGCATGATCTTGATTTGGGAACGTAGTTTGGCACACAATACATTTGTTGCCGATCTGTAGGGTAGTCAAGACCGCTGGCATACCGTGTCCTGGGCTCTTAGATTTGGTTTGATGTGTGGCGAGCTGCTTGAGCGTCCCAAACCGTTTCTGGCACGACTCGATGTTGCACACGAAGGGACAGTTCGTCTCGTCGTCGGTGTCCGTCTCGTCGTATGTTGCCGCCGAGGGGAGAGAGGAGGTGATCACGCTGGCCCCGGGAGGAGCCCACTGAGTCGTCCAATAGGAAGCCCTGAGAGCCCGAACGTCGCAATTTAGGAAGGCCTCTCGAACCCACTCGTCATCCCATCAGTTTTTTACAACTCGAGGTTGCCACGCTTCCTGAAAGCTCTCGCCGATCGCGTGAGACGACAGGCACAGCAAATCATCCGCGAGCTGTGTGGCCCACGGGTGCACGTTCGGGTCTGCGGAGATCTCACCCTGCGTATTGAGGGTGCCAGCGCTGACGGGGCGGTTGCTTATGGCCGCCTGCTGCTCGAACTTGCATCTTCCAAAAAAAGAAGCGAGACAGTGGCCATGATGTGTGTGCAATCGGATTATGCTCTGCCACCAACTGAGCCTGCGCACGAGTAGCTCGATGGCAGTCGGTGCGACTTGCCATTCAAGAAAAACTTGGCGGTGGACAGGGATCGATGATTGGTGTGCTCATCCTCCTGATGTGCCACTCCTCTCATCATTGATCGTAGTTACGGGCCAGCGAACTGTCGAGTCGGTGGAGCTCTCTGGGGGCCAGCACATAGCTTTCGAGGCCAGACCAAACCCTCCCAGCGACGTTGGACACGAACGCGAGCCGTTTAGCCTTCCAAGGACCTCCAGAAAACCAGTAGTCGCCCAGACGGCACCACCCGATCTTACCTGATTGTATGCGGGCCTCGACTTCACGACGATTACTGTTAGCGACATGTGCAAAACCTCCGAGATGAATCAAGTCCCGGACTGCGTTCCCAGAAATATTCCGTTCGGCCTCCTTCGCAGCCCCGTGAGTGCCCAATGAGACCAGGGTGTCCTGCTTATTGATGTTCTGTGCGTAGCCGCCAGCCTCGAGGGCTTGGGAGATCGTGTTGTTGTCGATCTCATCAATCTGCAGCGCCTGGAGGGCCGCGCCGTCTGGCACCAAGAGGATCTTAACTAGATCGCCGATGAAAGCTCCAAGATGCGCATCGAACTCTTCACCAGTGAAAGGGCAGTGTACCTGAAGCGGGTTTCCCTGGACCTGGGCCATCTCCTGGGACCACTGCATAATTAATGGATAAAATGATTCCATGAAAAGTTCAGGCTCGTTTGAGTCGCCCATCCTCCCTCCTGTCCCTGGTCGAAGAGCTACGCTGGCATCAAACGCCTGCAGAACTACTACAGCCTCGTGTCGGTGCTGCTCAAGGAGGGGATGAAAATGCGGATCTTCGCATCGAAGTGTGTGGGCGGCGACCAGTCGCTCGTGGGAGCCTGTCGCGAATGCGTTCCGCATGTCGTACGACTTAGCAAGAAAAGGCATTCTGGCGGATCTCATCTTCCATATCAGAAGCTTAGCAATGAGCATGAGTGATTCGCGACGGCGGGAACGAATGCCTCCATAGGCCCACGGCGGTGGATCGAATTGGGTTCCATACTGAATGAGTCCTACCCTGAGATACAATCGCCAAAAATTGTCGAAACAGTGAAGTAAACGTACGCATGAATGAATGTCCTGAATCACGTTGCCAGTGGGGCTTTTCCCTTTTTGCCGATGGCGACCGCCTGGCTGGTGAACGCCTGGGCGGGCAGAGATCCACATCGGTGGACATGAGCGAGCAGTGTGACGAAAGTCTGGATGATGGTGGAGTTGACGTCGTAGTCGATCACGAGCTTCCGTCGACTGGGTTGGTAGACTCGCTCGGCGAGCGGGTCCGCGTATTGATAGTCGGCAGTGTCATGTCCCACCCCCGCCCGTTGAACACCAGGGCGCGTCAGATATTGTGGAGCGAGGAGCATGATGGTGAGTTCGATGGGCCATGCCCAAGGTGGATTGTTGCGCCTCCGTGTCTCCCTCCACAGTCGTTTCTTCAAATGGTCGAGCTCCCCCGCTGCCGTCTCAATGTCATGGAGCTCAGGGGCGCCGATGTGCTCCCCCACTGATTGAATGTCGTTCGGTTGGGCCAGTAGTCGTGGAATAGCTGTCGGGTCGTCGATGTACATACTGACGTAGGCAGGCGTGGCAGAGAGTCCCCCTTGGACGGCTGGTTGAGTAAGGGCGTCGGCGTAGTCGGCTGCAGTGGGGCGCGTGGATGGCAGTGCAAGGTAGGATCGTCGTCGTGGTCCCGTCCGTCGTCCCGCTCGGATGTACGTGAGATATGCAACTCGGGAGAGGTCGCGAGTGGCCCACGCGTCGCGGATGTCTTGGTCGAGGCTGACTTTCCACCAGTGATCCATCCATCGTTGGCGTGCTCGTAGGCGTCGTTGGATCTCGCGTAGGTTCGCATGGTTGAAGGGTAGTCGTCGGGCTCGGCAGTCGGCGCGTTCTGTAAGCAAGTGGAGTCGTTCAAGTCGAGCTTGTTGGTACCATTGCGGTTGTCCTCCTTCCTCTGTGTAATGCTTGCGGCCGCATTCACGAATGATATGAGCGATGAGAGCGTTGTGGCGGGTCGGAAACTGATCCATCTTGACAACTCGGAGGACCTCCTTGTGTTTGCCGATCTCGGCGTAGACGTCATTGAGAAAAGAAGCACGGTGGGCGCCCGTCTGGAGCCCGGCAGCGAGGAGGCCGAAGTCCCAGCGAATGTTGTTGTTCGTGATGTTGACGCCGCTGACAGACATCTTGATCTGCATAATCATGGGGACGTGGTCGGCAACATGTATCAGGCTACGTAGCTTGGTGTGGATATTCCAATTCAGCTTCACGTATTTCACGATCTCCATGAGATTGTCGTAGCCGATGAAGTAGTCGATGCGTGATCTGGCTATGTTGGGCCCGTAGTAGGTGTTGCCGACGTCGCTGTGCGTGTTGATGGTTGTCAGCTGGTGGGTCAGAAGCTGGTCGTGAATGAAGCGTTCGAACTCGGTCTCATCGATGGCGTGGTAGCTGCCGATCGCGTTGTCGGCGTGGAGCTGTCGTGATCGTCGTCCTAGTCCTTGGTTGAGGTCCGTGAACAGGATGGGCGTGACGCGAGTGGGAGTGTCGGTCAGTGTCTGCAGTACCCAGCCCCGTAGTCGTCGGCATCCTGCTTTCCAGTGTTGGTGATGACCTGCTCCGTTCGGCCGTGGTGGGAAATGCGCAGCAATGAGTCGAAGACGGAGCTGGCCTCGGTGGAGCTCGACGGCGCCTGCGCGGCCCCGTAGGTCGGGCTGTAGGGGGTGCAGTATCTTGACGATGTCTATATTGCGGAAGTGGCGCTTGGATACTGCGATGCTGCAGCCTGCTGAGCTGTTCGTGTGGGCTCCGCGGCCCCAGCCGAAGTGAACCCATGTGTGGTGGAGGCTGTCCTCGAGATGGTGCGGGGCGTCGGTAGTGCGCTGGCGTATCTTGGCGCCTACGTACAGCATAATCTGAATGGCGCGGCATGTGTCGGAGATGTGGTCGAGACGCCCTGGAACTCCCTTGAGCGAGAATGGGTTCCATCCCAGTATCGTGATGGCCTTCGTCGTGGCGTGATGTGGGCGTACGTCGGGGTCAGGGCGGCGTGGGGATGGGCTAGCGGGCTCGCTATGAAAGCGAGACGGAGACCCCCCATTTCCAGGAATCACAGTGGGGGCAGGGGGCGTCGGGGAGGGTGGGAGAAGGCCAGGCGGAGAGGCGTCGGGAGAGAAGTAGGTGGGGCGTCGGACCGGAAATTGATGATCAGGGCGTTCGTCACCAAGGTCCCGTTCATGTCGAAAATCAAGGCCAGGTGGCAATTCATGGTCAGCGTGCAATTGTTCCACTGGTGGCAATTCAGGGTCAGCGTGGTGTAATCCTGCATGTGCTGGCCCTCTATGTTCGTGATGATGTTGAAATTGATGCTCAGCGTCCAGTGGTCCTTCGCGAACTGGGTGTGGAGGTGGTGGTGATGCTGGGGTCGGGGCTGAGTTGCGGCTGTAGCGTGGGACTCGTGCGCGTCGTAGTGGGGCATGTAGGTCCCATGCTGCAGCATCGGCATCATCATCTGGCTGGTGGTCAGGTGCTTTTGCCATGCGCTCGTCTATGTTGATGATGTCAGCGAGCGAGTCCTGCGTGCTCAGCAGGTGCGCGGCACCCGCGCTCTGGAGCACAACCTCGGCGGCATGGCGGTGTGCGGGGTATCGTCTATGAGGCCCCCTGCCTTTCGGGCAAGGCGAGAGGGCGGTGACTTGGAGGCCGCTGCTCCTTCAATGGCCTGAGCGCGCGGCGGCCTTTGATGATGATGATGATGATGATGATGATGATGATGATGATGATGACGATGATGATGATGATGATGATGCTGCTGATGCTGCTGATGCTGCTGATGCTGCTGATGACGAGGAGGAGGAGGAGGAGGAGGAGGAGGAGGAGGAGAGTCCCAGACACTCGGCGTCACGATTTTTTTGCGTGACGTGGCTCGCTGCCTCCTTCTGCTCCTCCTTCTCCTTCCCCTCCTCCTCCTTGAAGGCGCGCCGTGATCCATCCTGCTGCGGTGAGCTGCCGCTGCCGCCATCGCTGACCCCGAACCCCTCTGACGCCGCCCGCTTCTCCTCTTCCTGCTCCTCTTCCTCCTGCTCGGTCCTCGCTTCTCCTCCTGATCGCTCCTCCTACTCCTCGCTCCTCCTCCCCCCTCTCCTCCTCCTCCTCCTCTCCTCCTCCTCCTCCTCCTCCTCCTCCTCTTCCTCCTTCTCCTACTCCTCCTCCCTCTCTATGCCTCCTCCTCCTCCGCCTCCGGTTGCTCCTCCTCCTCATCATCATCATTATCAGAAGCATCATCCTCCACACCTTTCCTCATAAACAATGCCTCCCTGTCGGACCCCCAGACGTGTCGGTAAGGTGGGCCTCGCGCTTTGCTTGATATTTTCTCACCATGGGCGACCTGAGGCTTCAACGTTGCTGCACTATCGCGGATGGATGGCGGTTCGTTTTCCGCAGGTGGCTCTCGCCGTAGCGCCGCGCGCATTCGCTTTAAGAGCTTGCAACACTTTGAAGGATTAAGAGCGGGTGCTTTTCAACATGTGGCTCTCGCGTTAGCCCCGCGCACATTCGTTTTAGAAGTTCGTAACAGTCTGCATGATGGAGGGCGGGCCGTTTTCAAAGCGTGGCTCTCGCTTGCGCGTCGCGCACATTAACTGCAAACAATTGCACCAGTCTCAGGAATGGAGGGCGGTGCCTTTTCAAAGCGTGACTCTCGCATTAGCGCCGCGTGCTTTCGTTCTAACCGCATGCAGCAATTTCAAGAGCTCGTATGGTTGACGTCCCAGGAATAGCGTTCTGGGGCGATTCAGGGCTGTCAGGACGCGCCAGTCACGTTCAGTCGCGGTGTTGAAGTCCCAGGGAGGGCCTTCTTGCACGGCTCGGGACTGTCAGGGCGCAGCTGTCATGTTGACCTCCAGCGTTGAAGTCCCAGGGGTACTGTTAGGGCACGATTGACGATTCTCAGACGGCTGTCTTCGAAATGGCAATTCCCGCCTTGAAAAGACATCTTTGTAGGGACCTACGGGATGGCACTTGGGGGAGAGTTTATTGCAACACTGTTGATGCGTCTTGGGTGTACAGTGAACCTCCTCCCTCCTCCCTCCGCGTCCTCCTCCTTCTCCTCTTCCTGCTCCTCGTCCTCCGCATCCTGCTCTTCCTCCTCCTCCTCCTTCTCCTCTTCCTCCTCCTCGTCCTGCTCTTCCTCCTCCTTCTCCTCCTCCTCCTCCATCCATTTTCCTTATAACTTACTCCTACCTGTCGCGCCCTGGGGCTAGGGCTGGTCGACATGGCGGGCTGGGCGTTTCGCTTGTGACATCCTCACCATTTATGACCCTGAAGCTTAGAAACTGGCAACAGCTTCACAGATGGAGGGCGTGTGGTTTTCAAACTGTGGGTCTCGCTTTAGCGCCGCGCACATTGGTTTAACATATTTGCAAGAGTCTACGGGTTGAGGGCGCGTGGCGTTCAATATGTGGTTTTCGCTACAGCGCCGCACACACTCGTTTAAACATGCGCAACAGTTTCACAGGTTGAGGGCGGCTGGTTTTCAAAATGCGGATCTCGCCTAAGCGTCGCGCGCATGTGTTGTACACATTGTGATTGATTCACGGATTGTTGGCGGTTAGTTTTCAAATTGTGGTTCTCGCTTTAGCGTCGCGCGCATTCGTTTCAACATTTGCGAAAGTTTCACGGATTGAGAGCGGGTGGTTTTCAAAGTGTGGTTCTCGCCTTAGCGCCGCGCACATTCGTTTAAAACAATTGCAAGGGTTGAACAGATTCACATGGTCAACGTGCCAGAAATTGTGCTTTAGACGGGCTCAGGATTATAAGGGCGCAACATGTACGTGGAGTCGCGGTGTCGAAGTCCCAGGAATGGTGTTCTGTCAGGGTTCAGGATCGTCACGGCGCAACAGGCACGCTGATTCGTGGCGTTGGAGTCCTGAGAATGATGTCTACGCACGCTTAAGGGTCTTCAAACGGTTCCGTCCCAACGAGGCAGTTCCCTCGGTGGAAACGAACCCTTGTATGGGGCCTACGAAGAGGGAGTTTGGAGGGAGGGTCAATTCCAACATCGTTGATGAATCTTGGGTTTCCACTGGTCCTCCTCCCCATGCTCCTCCTCTTCCTCCTCCTCCTCCTCCTCCTCCTCCTCCTCCTCCTACTTCACCACTACGTGAGAAGAGAAACTGCTGGAAAAACTCCTCCTCCTCCTCCTCCTCCCCCTCCTCCTCTTCCTCCTCCTCCTCCTCCACCTCCTCCTCCTCCTCCTCCTACTCCTCCTCTCGCCCCTCTGAGGCCCCCTCCTTTCGGCCGCGCGCCAAGGCCCTCGCGGGAGAGACCTTCAATTTCGTTTCCGGCACCTTGGGCAGCAGGCGGCCGACGGTCTTGGAGTTCCGGAACGTGGCGGGGGCAGGAGTCCTGACGAGGACGAGGGAGGGAGGAGAAGGAAGAGGAGAAGGGGGAGGAGGTGGAGGAAGAGGAGACAGGAGCAGGAGGGAGGTAGGAAAAAGGATAAGGATTTGTCCTCCTCCCCCTCCTCATCCTGTTCCTCCTCCTCTACCTCCTCCTCCTCCTCCTCCTCCTCTCCTCCTCCTCCTCTTCCTCCTCCTCCTCCTCGTCGTAGTTCTCCTCCTCCTCCTCCTCTTCCTCCTCCTCCTCCTCCTCCTCCTCCTCCTGCCCCTTCTCCCACGAGGCGCCCACGAACGGCAAGGTGGCGAAACCTCGGCGGACTCGCCCAGCGCATAGGGCGCCCGCGCGGTGGCCACGGGCGACAGCGTGGCGCAATGCGCGGACCCACCCGGCGCACGGGGCGACCACGAGGCGCCCACGGGCGGCGACGCGGCGCACACGTGGCGGACCCACCCAGCGCACGGGGCGCCCACGAGGCGGCAGCGTGGCGAAAGTTCGGCGGACCCATCCTCCTCCTCCTCCTCCTCCTCCTCCTCCTCCTCCTCCTCCTCCTCCTCCTCCTCCTCCTCCTCCTCCTCCTCCATCGGCGGACCCATCCAGATTTCTTGAGGGATCCAAGAAAGAGCCCCCCAAGTGCAAGCCGGTCTTGGGCAGGTATCAAGGACGCGCAGGAACAGCATACCCAACAAACCGCCAGGGGCATGGCCAGCGTCATCACATCACGGCATGCCTGGAATGTGTATGTTGTGTGGTTCGCGTTGTGTGGCCCTCCTGGGCGCCCCTAACAGAGCCCAAGGCGTCTCCAGGGCAGCCTAGATACCAAGATTGGCCCAAGCGGCCCTAAAGGCGCCCGACGGGCCCCAGAGAGGCCCTGAGAGGCATCCAGGGAAGCTTCCGACTGCCAAGGCCAGCGCAACAAACTAGCTGATGTTCCGTATTTGGGGCCGTCCGGGCTCTTCGGGGCAAGATGGCTTCAGGACGCTGGAGGGACCCAGGAGGACCCAACGGAGTTCCCGAGGCAGCCCGTGGGATAAGCAGGAACTTCTTGAGGACGGCCCAAGGCAGCGGCAGGGCGGCCCCAGGAGGACCCCCAGGCAGCTCAAGGTGGGGCCACCAGAGGGCCCAAGACGGCCAAACGAGCTCAGATACTGTTGCAGACGGCAGGAGGACTCCAGCTTGCCCTGAGGCGAGAGAGAGAGAGAGAGAGAGAGAGGGAGAGAAAGAGATAGCGAGAGAGAGAGAGAGAGAGAGAGAGAGAGCTAGAAGGAGAGAGACCCATGCAAGCTGAAAGGAGCCCAGGGCTCCCAAAGTACGGCCCAAGGCCCCCCTGACCACCGCCACTGGCCAGCCGCGCGCAGAAGGAGCAGCAGGAGGACTTCCAAGGAGCCCCCTGCGTTCGTAGAGCTCCAGCCCCCCCGCCCCACACTCGTGGGCGCGCCACCGAGGGGGGGAGGTGGGCGGCGTCGCCACGGCCAGAGCCTGCTCGAAAGATGGGCCGCTGCGGCGCCGAGTGGCCAAACAGCGCGGACGTGCCTTGACATGTGTTTGGGCTGTCGTCTCCTCACTGAGAGAAGCAGCAGCGTCATACACACATATATACGTAGCACCCCGCAATTGCGGATCAGAGTGAGGGGGCGGGCGCGGGCGATGCGGGCGTCGAGCTGGCGGACCTCGTGGCCGTCATCTTCCTTGTCGATGGCGCTCTCCTCCTCCTCATCCAACCACCAGCAGCGCAACCACCAGCACAACCACCAGCAAAACCGCGGGCACAACCACTGGCGGTAGTCCTTTGTAGAACTAAGAGTGCAATGCCGAGCGCACCCACAACATTTCGTGGTGTTTCATCATACTAGCAAAAACCTTGTTTTGTTCCATGCCGCGTCGCTGCGCCTCGTCTAGTTGTTTAAATTCCTAGTTTTGTTTTCTGTCAGGCCTCGGAGCTGGGATATGCACGCGACAAAATAGAATGTCGAACTCCTTGATTTTGAACATCGATTTTTCTTTTCTCACAAACTCCCGCATACATGAAAGAGCGCGCCCGTGGCGCACTTTTCATTAAAAGGCGGGCCCCAGCTTCAAGCTACCCTCCCCCTCCCTTGGAAATGGGGCGGGGACGTCCGAAGCTCCCCCCCTCCTCCCGTCCGATCGACCAGGACGGGGTATCACCTTGCGGGCTCCTGAGACCTCCTGGGACCTCTTGGGGCCTCCTGGGACCTCCTCGGGCTTCCTGGGGCCTCCTGGGGCATCGGGCCTCCTGGGACCTCCTGGGACCTCCTCGGGCCTCCTGGGACCTCCTGGGGCATCCTGGGAGCTCCTGGGACCTCTTGGGGCCTACTGAGGCTTCCTGCAGCCCTTCCAGGGCCTCCTGGGGCATCCTGTGGCTTTGTGGGACCTCCTGCGGCCTCCTGCGGCCTCCTGCTTCGATGGTATGCGTACCGGCAGATATGTCTGTCTGTCTGTCTGTCTGTCTGTCTGTCTGTCTGTCTGTCTGTCTGTCTGTCTGTCTGTCTGTCTGTCTGTCTGTCTGTCTGTCTGTCTGTCTGTCTGTCTGTCTGTCTGTCTGTATGTATGTATGTATGTATGTATGTATGTCTGTATGTATGTATGTATGTATGTATGTATGTGTGTATATATATATATATATATGTATATACAAATATATCCCTGGGGGGCATGCCTGGGGCCCACAAACAGCTGCCCCGACCCCCCACGGGAGGACGGGGCGGCCGGGGAGGTCCAAAATAGTCCTGGAGGGCCTCCAGAGGCTCCCAAGACGGCCCAAGCGGGCCCCGAGTCGTCGAAAGACCGCTCCAGGACGCCCAAGATAGGCCCAAGACGGCCCGAGAGGCCCCCCAAGGCACTCCACGACGCTTCAAGACGCCTCTCCACAGCGCTTCAAGAGGCCGAACTCGTCAATTTTACAACGGTTTTGGAACGATTTTGGCCCTCCAGCCTCTTCGGCTGTCCGACGTTCCAAGACGGCTCAATAGGCCCCCAAGGGCACCCCAAGACGGCCCAAGAGGGCCCCAAGACGGCCCCAGAGGCGCCCAAGACAGCCCAAGAGAGCCCCAAGACGGCCCCAAGATGCGCCCAAGAGGGGGACCACAACTCCAAAATTCGACCCTCTCGCTTGAAGGCCCCAAGGAGCCCCCAAGAGGCCCCAGGAGGCCCCCAAGAGGCACCCATCAGGCCCAAACGATGCCTCAAGAGGCCACAAAACAGCCCCGAGGAGGTCCCACAACGGTCCCAAAACGGCTACCGAGAAGCTGCGAAACTGTCTTCACGACGTCCCCGACAGGCCAACCACGAGATCCAAACCAACACTCAAAAGGCCTCTGACCCACCACCCAGGGCACGGTGGCGGGAGCAGGGACAGCACTTGTGCACAGCACGTTCCGGCGGGAGCCTTCGGAACACGCTGCAGCAGGAGGAATATCAGGAGGAGAGAGAGCTGGAGTGGGAGGAGGAGGAGGAGGGGTACGAGGAAGAGGATGATGAGGAGGAGGAGGAGCAGGAGGAGGCGGACGGGCACGACGACGATGAGGACGACGACGATGCAGGATGATGATACTGCCGACGACGACACATGTGACGACGTCAACGATTACCGCGACTTTTTTGTGTTGATGATGGTGGTGTTCTTGCGGGTGATGGTGATGGTGATTGCGATGATGCGGGAGCAGGATCAGGGGCCTTTCTTGGGCCCCTCTCGTTGCCCTCTTGGGCCTCTCTTGGGCCCTCCTGAGCCTCCTGGAGCTTTGACTAAGCCTTTGAAGGCTCCAAGAAGCCTCCAGAAGCGCCAAGAATGCACCACAAGTTCAACGCGAATCCCCTTCCATATACATATAGAACGGTGTGTATATATATATATATATGTTGTGTGGGGGGCGTCCATATACATATATATATATATATATATATATAGATGGTTTGATTTTCAGATCTGGAAGCGAGGAAGGAGCGAGCAGGCGGCCGCACCGCTCCGCGGCCGACATGCTCAAGGCTCCGAGGCCCCCCGGGTTTCAGCGCCGGTCCCGCATGGACCTGGCGGCCTGGCTGCTGAAGGAGGCTGCCAGGGGTTTCGCCGCGGGCGCGGCGGCCTTGGGAGCGGCCTGGGGCGCGCAGTGCGCCGCTGCGCCGCCCTGCCTGGCTTGCACTTGCCAGTGCGAGCCGCGCCTGGTCTGCCCTGGCGGCAGCCACACGGAGGCGGGCGAGCCAGGGCTGGCTGTGGCCGCCGTGGCCTGGGCAGGCAGCCTGGCGGCCCCAGCCTTCGGCGCCTGGGCTTGCGCCAGGCGGCAACCCAGGGCGGAGGTTCCGCCCGAGGCGCTGGCGGCCAGGTGGAGCGCGCCTGCGCTGCCCCCGCCTGCAGCGGCGCCCTCGCCCTCTGAGGCGGCCGCGGCGCAGGTGGCTGCCCTAGCCGTTTTGGCCCAAGTTGTTTGGTTGCTAGCGTATATTTCAGAACGGCACATTGCGCTAGCGGGTCATTCTGGCTCGTTCTGTCGTTTTGCACTCGCACGCGTCTCTCATGGGACCGAAGCATGATGGCGGGGCGAAGTGTCTCGCGTGTGGCGCTGCGAAGTGCAACAAGCCGTGGTACAAGTGGTGTGCGAATTGCTGGGCGCCTATACCGCAGGTGTCTTATGGTTATCAGCCTTCTCCTGCTGGTGTGTGGAAGGATGGATCTCCCCCCCAACGTGCTCAAGGGCGGGAGCCATGGTTCTCTCGGCGGCAAGGGAGGCTACAAAGGCAGTTTTGGCGGAGGCGGTGGCATCGGCGGCGGGGGAAAAGGGGCTGGCGGACGTGGCGGCGGTCGAGGCGGCATGCTGGCTTCCCGATCGGATCCCCTGTCGCTGCTGTCCCAGATCAAGGTGCTCATGGGCCAGCTCAAGGAGGACTTCCCCGAGCGTGCGGCGGTGGACAGCTCGGTCGAAGCCTCTGCCACAGCCATTCGTTCTCGTCAGTCAGAAGCTCGTCCCCCCCGTCAGCAGGCCAACGAGGCGCAGC